AAGATTCCTAGCCTCTATTGTGGTGACTAACTTTCTGGAGTTTCCCAAAATCTCAGTTTTCTTAGTGGTTTCAATTTCCTTTCTTAACAAACTCTTTTGGCTATAGGGCAGATTGAAAAGATTTCTTTATCCTATTAGCACATGTGAATCCTTTGGGAAAATCCTAGCCTGATCTAAGCTCAGAGCTGCTGAAATTTAAAAAGATCTTAGAGATTATCCAGTTCAGGGGTTCTTAAATCTTCTGACAGGCAGAGTGATGGGATCAGCGCCAATTTGTATGAAATTGAAGTTGTATGCAAATTTGTGCTCTATAGCTTCCAACACATTCTCAAAAGATCTGAGACCCAAACAGGTAAAAAGTCCAATTGCTTATTTTAACAGGTGAGGCAAATGAGGTCACATTACAAGTTTCCTGATATAGTAGGAAAGCACTGAAGAACAAAGGTTTTAAACTAGGCTCTGTAGAATTCTATGAGATACTTCAGTGATTTTATGACTATTTGATTCAAATTCCATTTTTAAAGTGATAATAAATAGCACAGGGCCCTTGAAACAAAATGAACTAAGGGAATGTAGAGCCTGATTTAAGGTTCTAATTTCCTTTTATAACTTCAATTACTATTTTTGTTATTAAAACAGCCTCATTGATTGACATTCAGTAAATGTTATAAATGTGAATTTAAGAATTTATCCTGATAAGACACTTCAAATCTTTTACCAGTGTACAGTTTCCTTTGGAAAAAAGAGGATGGAGTTTCTGCTAAAAAGTTTGAAAACCACTGGTTCACTATTTACCAGCTGAGCAACCTTGGGGAGACCCGGTGTTGTGAAGATCACAGAAATAATGTAGTTTAAAGGGCCATGTAAGCTTAAAGGGCCATGGAACCCGGGTATCCTCCAGCTCAGGCTGGTGTTGTAACATGCTATGGTTACAAACCCCCAATCTACTACCCTCACCTGGACTGAACTTTGGCCTAGCTCTGATGGCCCCAAATGAAAGTTCAAATTTAAGGCCTGTTTGGGTTGGAATGCAAAGTTTCACTAATCAAATGAACTGTCAGTCTTGTGAAGGTGTTTTCTGTATAAAATGACTGCTGCTGGTCTGGTGTATATGGGGTGGTGGAGGCAGGCACTGTCCCTGTCCCACGGAAATGCATTTAGACATCCTGAGTCTTTGGAATTAGACAGTTCCAGGTTTGATCCCACCTCTGCTCCTTACCAACCATGTGACTTTGGGTAAGTTTTAACCTTTGAGTCCCAGTATCCTCATCTGTAAAATGGGGACAGTAAAGTATCTTCATCAAGCTGTTAGGGATAAAATGATAGAATGTATATACAAGTATTTGAGCACAGAGCTGGGTACTTGGTGCTACACAAATGGAAGCCACTAAGTCAAGACAGTTTTTCAAAGGTTGAATGTTGCAGGTAACATGATTAATCTCATATCATTTATTTGTCTCTTTTTAAAGTAGACGGTATGCCTGTGTGATTAGCTGGGTGATGGCAAGAAGTGAGTTCTATCCTGTTTGGATTAAGGCAAAGAGAAATGAAAGCAGCCAAGGATTCAGGGGATGCCTGGATTTCAAATTCCCGGGGGAAATGTGTGGGCAGGTGCAACAGAGGGAGAGATGGCAGATGGACTACGGTAGCCTCTCCTCTTCTTCCTGCCCTGGAAGAGCACATAATAAAGCCAAGACAGGCAGCCCAGGACGGATCTGCTGTGCCACTTCTGAAAAATGAAAACCACACACACTAAATGCAGGAAGAAACCGCTCGCACCCAAAGAAAGTTGGGACAAGCTCGCTCTTTATTACGTACAGCATTGGGAGGGGAGACTGCTTGGAACACACTCTTGCACTCACACTCTCATCCTAGACCTCCTCCCTCCCAGGCGATTTCATTCCAGACTCTGGGCTTTGAAGACACAAGGCAGAAAAGCAGAGACTGCTTGGTATCTGGAGACAGGGAAACTCAAGGAACAGAAAGCATTGTTACTCGAAGTCTGGGAAGAGATTTTCAACAGGTTGTTTTCTGGTCCTCAGTGGTCAAGGGTGAGCCACGAAACAAAGGAGATAAAATCATTTTTTTCAAATTACAAGTGCCATTTGAGTTCAATCTCATAAACTAAGCCGGGAATTAGGATACACGGTGGTTCGAGGTTTTCTAAAATAAACGTGGAAACGGAGTGTAGGGGAGGGGACCCTCACAGGCTAGGATTGACAGTGATCTGGGTAGGGACAGATATGAAGAGCGGCTCTGGGTAAGGAAGCAGCTATTCTTAGACTTCTCTAGGTGAACTCAGCCCCAAAGAGGAGGTGACACAAATGTCACCAGCCAGAATTCTAGACCAGTAAGAAGAATGCAAGCTTGCTCAGTCACAGGTGCTTGTGAAATAAAAGGTGCCTCGTAATATCACAGATTAAGCAACTGCGGTTCAAAAGGGCTAACCATTTCCTTTTTCAGCATCAACATACATGATAGAAAAAGAACAAGTAGGCAAATGAAAAAGATAGACATCTATATAGATATCCTCAGTTTGACAGGGTTTTCCCAAGCTTATTGGACATGACATGCCCAATATATTGTGAATTCTTTACACATTTAATGAATGAGATAGATAACTGAGATATTTCCCAGAATGCAATAATTAATAGCATGCAGAGAGTAAAATACAATGGTTTTCTGAAGATTTTTTTTTAAAAAAGTATTAGTTCTTAGGCTATTCAATTGGCTATAAAGACAACTATTTGTAGAACTCAAATTTTTATTTAAAAAATCAAAACTATTTAGGATCTGATATATGAAAATAGGTAAAGTGAGAAAAAGCACTTGCGTGACAGGTATTTAGCTAATTTGAAGGGCCACATTATTTCAAAGGACCCCTATTATAGTGGATTTAAAAGTCTTTCAAAGGTTAGGGTAATCATTTTCATTGATCTTGACCTTCCTCCAGAGCTGACAGGTACTGGCAAGAGAATGCCTAGTCTCAAGCGAGGATTATTTTGAAACATGGTTTGGATTTAGAAAGTAAACGGATGTTACAAAATTGCCTGAAGTAAGATTCCCCGGAAGTAAGGCACGTGTGGCCCAGAGAAGCTGGTTGTAGCTTAAGGTCACTGTCTTTTGAAAGCATTTGTCCAGCCAAGGGTGTCAGGTGGTGGTTTCCTTTGGCCCGGCTCCTGATAGAGGGTGTAGAATAATTCCATCAAAGTCAAAAAAAGAGGCTTTAACCTAGTACATAATGATCTAAAAATGTGGAGTTCAATATTTAAAGAGTAAGAGATTATAAATCTCTCACACACACAGTATTTACAAGCTGACAATCTTTACCTGTTGCTAGGATCCCTGTGCATTCTAAGAACATCACTCTCAATATATGGAAAAGGAAAGGGAGAGAGAATAGTCAGGGTTCCCACCTGCCCTCTCCCTAGGGGTTAAAGGCTAATTTGGTCCCCACATCATCCTCGAAGGGAAGAGCTCATCTCTGTGTTGGCCTCTAGGCCTCACTGATTTCCCCTCATCATGCCTTGCAACATATCTATGGGCAGAGGGAAGACAATGGTGGAGTTTTTCTCAGCAGCAATGGTGGTTAGTGTCTGCAGGTACCGGAGCTGAAGGGCCGCAGGAGATTCACTGATGACTATGGAGGCTTCTTTCAGAGCCCTGGATGCGTTCATTTCTCCCTCGGCTGCAATGACCTGTGGAACAGCAGAAGGAAGGATCAAACTGGAGAAAACAGCAGGTGCCAAGCAGCAATCACAAAACTTTCCAGGGAGTAGGCCAGAATATTTTAAAGAAATCCACGTCCAGTTACTAGTTTCCATGTTCTTTTTCCTATAAGACATCCTTTTTTACTATTGCCTTTCTCCCATTTTCCAGGGCACCAAACAAAGAGACAATTCAAAATACTGTGTGTGGGTTGAGAAAGTGAATTACTCTTATGACTGCATACACATATATCTGCAAGTCAAGAGAGATTTCCAATTCTTGGATTTCAAAGAAAGGAAAGAAGACCTTATCGAACTGAAAAATGCTAGATCATTGAAAATATTATTTTTGTGTAAAAGATCACTTTATTATTTTTTAGCACATAAATTCAGAGGCAATGCCAAGAATTGCATGACATTAAACCTCCACTTTCATCTATTTATTTATTTAAACAAGTTTTCTTAGTCTTTATACCTATAAAAAATGAAAAGTAGTAAAATTGATGCTGAGTCTTAGCTCATTCCAGCAATAAGTAACGGCCATCTACATGAATTCATTTCTCATTCATCTCATTAAGAGAAGCATTTCTAGTAAAAACTTACATATTTAGGAGAAATTCTGAAACATTTATAGTTTGTAATCAGAGGAAATAAAATAATTTTAACATATAGACTAAATGTGTTGCAATAGGGCAATAAAATAATTCATGAATAAATAGATTATATTAGGAAAAGAATTCGTGGTAGCGGTGAAATGGAAATATAAGTTCAAGGAGAAAAATGAACCATGAAAAATTCCTGGTTGTTAAAAAAGAGCTTATTCACATATTTTTAAATAGATGATGAAGTCATTATGTTATTTAAATTTCGCTGGATACATTTTTTAAAATGATGTTAGCAGGTTATTTTAAAATATCAATATTTAAAACATGCCAGGAATTACACACTTGACAGTATATAAATTTAAAATGAGAAATTTTATAGTCTATTTAAAATGTGTGATGAAACAACCATTTTCCTAAATTCTTTTAGGGCTACATGGGAAAAAATATTTAAGATTCTGAAGTAGTGGGGAGAGTAGGGCCTTTGGACTTAGATGAACTTGAATTCACATCCCAGACCTCCCCCTTACTAGCTGAATGTCCTCAGGTTATTTAACATTTTGAGCCTCAGTTTCTTATTCTTAAAATAGAATAACACCTACTTTATAGGAGGAAGACAGAGAAGGTATATTAAGTGTTGATGTATGAACAGAAGCTATTCTATAGGAATGTCAAGTGACAAGTCAGGACTTGATTTTTGGATCTATTCATAAAAGATTCAAAAGCCAAATAAGCCCTGGCAATTAGCTTTAATTCATAATCCTAAGAGAAGAGGTATAAATATACCATAATCACCAATATTAAAAGTACAGTTTCACTAGGTTGTTCTCATGGATCTAAAAACATTAATGGTTTGTAATGTTCCTGTGAATATCAGAACAGAAAGCCATGGTCTTATGAGCAGTGAAATTCCATTCGCTTCTCTAGTAAACTTTAGGGGCCTCCTAGGTGTCAAGCCCCATGCAGGGGCTAGGGACAAAGCAGGAACTTCCTTGCCTCCCTCAGCTCCTGGACAAGTACGGAAGACAGCCATGGAAATAGGTCACTTCACTGCAGCGCAGCAAATGCTGACAGAGAGCTGTATAAGGCCCAGTGCTGCACCACCAGGAAAGCACTTTGTACAGAGGGTGAGGTGGTGAAGTGATAGAAGTTCAACATTATAGAATGAAAGCATTGTTGTTTGGATTAAGATGAGGTTTGCAAAAGCTGGTGTATTCCAAAAAAAAAACTCTGAGTGCTGAATAGTGCATGAGGAAGAGGGGAAAGGTAGGGGGGAAAGGTAGAGGGGAACGGGCAGGATCTGGAGGCCGGTGGAGGCCAGGGTGTTGGTCTTCATTCTACAGGCAATGGGAAGCCACTGGAAGGTTTTATGTAGATAACCTCATCAAATGCAGGTTTGAGAACACACAGACAGATATCTGAGGATCGAAGGGAAGAGACTGAAAGCTGTTAGTGGAAGTGCTTCAGGGTGGTTGATGCAATTCACTGGTGTTGGGGACAGAGGAGGAGATGGATGGGGGCTATTCAGGAGGGACAGGATTCTGGAGGCGGGCTGTGTATGGGGAGGAAGAAGGCACAGAGGCTGAGTCCCAGGTTTCTAGGTTTCAGCCGCCTGGATAGTGCCGTTCAGTGAGAGAGAGGATACAGGATATGGTACTTACTGAGAGAAAGGACCCTTTAGAGGACAAAGAGCTTAATCTATCAAGACAAACCATTATGTCCTACCTACGTCTGTGAGATGGGGCACGTGCCAGATGTGCTCAAAGAGAATCCTGTAACGCACAGTAGAGAGTGCACAATACACCTGCCACGTGGTCAGCGGGTTCTGATTTTTTTCCATGTCATCTCAGATGTCCAATTAGGTACTTTTTTTTTGTCTGGACATAGACCAACTGCAAAGATACCTCATCTCCCACTATCAATCAATACACGATCTCTTGGCAGGGAAGCTAGACCCACCAGGATGGACACACATTTTGTTAATAGAAAAGCTGCTCTGAGATAGCTGCCAGAGATGTGAATCCAATACCACTGGCCTTGTCTAAATATAGGCCAAGTATACAGTGTGGATAGGATCTTAGAAAGTGAAGCAAGAAGCATGTGGGGCTTTTGCCAAATGCACAGTAATCCCATGTCAATAAACACTTCATACTTATAGACCATCGTTTTAAAATCTGGTATTTTCAAGTATGTGGGATTGGTACTGCTGCCTCCTTCAGTGGCCCAGGTGGGCTGGGGTGGGAGAAGGGCAGAGAAAGGCGATCTGTATTTTTGCACTCCACCCTCTCAATTAACAGATGACCAGGCCAGGAAATAGGAGCTTGAAAGCATGTCACACATTTTTCTGAGGGTTGTGAAAAAGGAAATAAGGAAGAAAGCAGCATAAAAGAGATTACATTTCAAGCCATTAAGAGTTGATCTAAAAACTTGAAAGAGATTCAGCCAACATACTGTAAAACTGGTGGGAGAGTCTGCCTTTTGTGACTGGCTCCTTTCTCATTATTTTCAGGAGCACGCACTTGTATGCTCATTCACTTTGTTTTATAGTATTCCTTCATTCAAATAAACCATACTTATCCATGCAACTACCAATGGACATTGGGGTAGTTTCCAATATTCCCAGCAGAACTTCAATTACAAAGTTCTGAAGATTCTTAGAGCCATTTCCAAGCAGTTGAGGATTGTTGCCTAGAGTGCTATAGAAGGCCAGGTCTAAGCTCAGTGGAAAACAGTGCTGTGGTTAATTACTGGCATGGGAATAGGAGGGCAGAGCAGCGGCTTCTGGGCCAGGTATTTGTCACCTTCAGAAGATCATCTCTAAGGGCCCTTTGGGCTGATAGTCTATGTAGTCTCTGTATGACAAATTTTGATGAGTTGAAAATGAGGCTTTTGGTTAATGACATATTCCAGGTATAGGTGATTCCTAATTTTCAAAATAAGTAGATTCTAATAGGGCATATGTAACGTTATCACAAATATAATTTAGTCTTATGTGATGAGTTTGAGAGGAAGCACTTGGGAGTTCTGTAGGGTCCTCACAAGCATCAATGGCAACATTAGAAAAACATAAAATTTCTGGTTAGTAGAAAATTCTGGATATATTGTGTCAAATGAGCTACTATTCTATTTGGGGCTGGCTAAGGAATTACAGTGACCAATTAAAGGGCATTCTAAGAGAATGGTGGGATTCCGTGGTTAGCCAGTTATACCAGCTACTGCTATTTTTCCAACAACAATGACAAATTGGTCTGCTCCTGTGTCTTGGGAGCTCTGTCAAGTCCAAAGTAACGCCTCCTACCAAAACTCTCCTATTCCTCCACACCTTCACAGGCAAGGGGCTCTGCGACCTGATTAGCACCTGACTTTACCCTTGGACCCAAGTTGGACCAAAGATAATCTCTCTGCCTTGAATCTGGAATCAGGGCTGGTCTGTCTCCGTCACTGTTCAACTGGAGCCAGACAGTCTCCCCTTCAAACCATCTGCAGTGAGATTCAGCTCAGGATATGAAATGACTCACTTCCTTCAGTCTTAACTCCTTTTAGTTCCCTGGCTCCAATGTTGATGAGGCTCAATTCTATGTCCTACCCTTGGGTTTGGTGAGATATCCCTGGGTCCTTATGCATTATCCTCTCAATGGATCCTCTTCTTTAGCTTAAATCAGCAAGTATTGCCTTCAGCACCTCTCAGAGGGTCATGCATCGATGCAGGGTTCAGACATAGGCAGGGATGATGATGAAAAGAAAGAGGGGAAAGAGCAGACACCAAAGAAAGAAAAGTGAAAAATAAACAAGGAGAGAGGAAGAGGAAACAGGAAGAAGAAAGAAGATACAGAGAAAAGAGAGAATGAAAGAAGACGAAAGAAATGAACGGTAAGCAAACCGATGAGGTTGCCCATTTGCTCTGAAGTCAGAACTGTAATCTGTCCTTTATAGGCAATTGGGAGACTAAAGTACAGAAATGGCTAAAAAGTAATGAGGTAACTGTGCGTACTGCTGTGTCCACGTGATGTGAAGCAAAAAGAGCAAGGTGCAGAGCAATATGCATAGTGTGACCTACTTCTGTAAAACAAACAAGCCAACAGTCTAACAACCTAGTCAGATAAAACCCAAATAAACCCCAAATAATAACCGGAAGTGAATACACTAAACTGTTAAGAGCGGTCACCTCTGCAGAGATATCATTTAAAGTGACAGGGAGGGGTTTTATCTTTATGAAATATTCAGGATTATTTCTAATTTTTATAACAAACATGTTTTGCTTTTTGTAATTAAAGAAAATTCAATAGGAAAAACAAACTAAAAAAAAAAATGACCTTGGCCCGGGCCTCCCGGGATGCTTCCGCTTCGGCAGCCATAGCCCTCTGGAGCTGCACAGGGAGTTTCACGTCCTTAATTTCCACACGCTCCACCTTGATTCCCCAGTCATCAGTGGCTTCGTCCAGGGTACTCTGATGGGAAGAGAGAAGGCAAGCTAAAGTGTTCAGCCGCGGTCCAGAGGCCCAAGGTTGCTGTATGCATTGGAACTGGGAGCAGATAAGGCGCTGGCTCACTAAGGAGCTGACCCTGATTCTGTTATTAATAAGCTAATGCAGGCAAACTTTCTCTAAAAAGACCTGATAGTAATTATTGATTCTCAGATCCTCTGCCACAACTATTTAACCCTGCCACTGTAGGTCAAAAGCAGCCATGGGTAATACATCAACCAATGGGTGTGGCTGTATTCCAATAAAACTTTACTTCTTAGAACTAGTATCACTTCTAGTATAAGTATTACTAAAACTATAGCAGCACTACTCCCAAGCTAATGTGACTCTGTGCAAACCATGTTACTTTGTGCTTCGACTTTGTCCCTTTACAATGGTAGGAATGAAATGATACTATTTCCTATAGTTATTGTGGTTATCAAATCAGATCATAGATTTTACACACAATGAAGTCTAAACAAATAATAAGAGTTCAGATTTATAGTGCTTTTGAACAGGTCAGGTTTAATTCATCATCTATTACTCATGCAACATGGGAAAGCAGATGACTTGCCAAGGAAGTCATGGGACTCACACAGAGAATACAGCTTAACAGCACTCGTGCTATGCAAAATGGCCTCTGAACTATTATGCTAAAAAATACTAATTCTGGAAAAAATACACACTGGAGGGGAAAAAATAATGCATGCATCTGAGTGTTATCACGCATGAACTATTTGTAGGAAAAACATCCCCTCCCACCAAGTTTGGGAAAACCTTCCCACGAGGAAAAAAGGCTAGTAGCTCCCCAACTTGAATTGGTGAGTTCTCAACCACTGAGCCTTTGCTTCCATTTTCAATTTCTCGTGAGGTACAGCATTGGCGCTCTCCTCACCTGCATGTTGTGTGCAATTTCTTCTCTGTCAGAGAGGATCTGAGCAAGGTTCTTGGTGCCCAGGACATTCCTCAGAGTGGTCTGTGCCAACAGACGGGTTGCCGAGTCGGCGTTGGTGATATTTGCCACAGCCAGGATTGCATTCTGAACGCGGTAATAGACCACACCATCCACACTAACTGTCACGGAATCCTTGGTGAGGATCTACAATGTAAAGGAAGCAATGTTACATTTGTCAGCCAGCTCTTCCTTTAATGTAACAGCAAGGAATGCTGTTCTATACAACTTCTTATAATGCTAGCTGATTTCTTTAGAAAGTTCTATCGACTGAATGTTTGTGTTCCATCAAAATTCATTTGTTGAAACCTAATCCCCAATGTGTTGGTATTTGGTTATGGGGGTGATTAGGTCATGAGGGTAAAGCCCTTATGAGTGGAATTAGTACCCTTATAAAAGAAACCCTGGAGAGCTCCCTCACCCCTTTTGCCACATGAGGACACAGGAAAAGACAGTCACCTATGATCCAGGAAGCAGGCCCTCATCGGACACTGAATATGCCGATACCTTGATCTTGGACTTCCTAGCCTCCAGAACTGTGAGAAATAAGTTTATAAGCCACCCAGACTATGTTATTTTGTTATAGCAGATCAGATGGCCTAAAATAGTAAAGCATCAGAGAGTCTTTAAAATTTTTATAAAACACATTCAGTTATTCAGTAATTCCATTACTTGACTCAATCATTGAACAAATGAGACACCACTTAGTAGTAGGCAATGTTGTATGAACAAGGTAGGAAAAACCTTGGTTCCTACTTTCAAAGAGGCTGAGGAACCAAGGGAGACTTTAAGGAACAAAAAATGAGCAGTTGCGGGTGGCAGGAATGGTACTTGAACTCAGTCTTGAAAGAAGGAATAAAAGTTTTCAGAGGGTGGAGGGTAGAGTGAAAGAGTATTCAAGGCAGAGAACATAATGTAAATGGGAGAGCCTGGGTTTGTAAGTATTACTAGAACTATAAGTAGCATAGCATTACTAGAACAGAATGTGAATGGGGAATGTTTTTACAGGGCGAGTCAGGGTAAAAATACCTTTACAGCATGTTACATAAAAATGCTTCATTGGACACAACGTGCCAATGTTTCCTACCCCCTACAGGGCAAAGTCCTTAGTTTGGTACACAAGTCCCTTGATGCCTGGCCCTTTGGCATTTGGCTCTCTGGTCTCACTCTATCCCACTCCCTCCTGCCCACACTATACTAGACGAGGTGCAGCATGTTCCATGTCCCCTGGCCTTTGTGCACATGTCCCCTCTGCCTGGATGTCCTGTCCTCTCTTCCTCATCACCTCAGACTGGCACATTCTTACTCATCATTCAAGACACGGCTCCATGTCCTTTTCTCTGTGAAACTTCCCTGACCCACTTGGCAGAGTATGCCCTTCCTTTTGCATCTCACTGCAGTGACACTATTTCTCTATTAGACTATGAATTTCTTGAGGGCAGTTTGTCTCTGTATCTCTATCACCAGCAGAATGCTTGATACCTAACAAGTTGTCAATAAACAAGAGAGGATTTAAACTGAAATATGTTCTTAGGAATACAGTGATTGATGAGGAGCACGGGAGTAAGAGTTAGGAGACCTGGAGTTTCAACTTTGCCTGTACCTCTTGGTGATCTCTAGCTTTTAAATGGATTGACTTACAGCACCCAGCCAGCTTGGCTCAGTGGTTGAACGCTGACCTATGAATCAGGAGGTCACGGTTCAATTCCTGGTCAGGGCACATGTGGACTTGATCTCCAGTGGGGGGCCAGCAGGAGGCAGCCGATCAATGATTCTCATCATTGATGTTTCTATCTCTCTTTCCTTCTCCCTTCCTCTCTGAAATCAGTAAAATATATATATATTTTTAAAAACTATTTGATTTACAGATTCCTCATTTGTGAGATAGGAGTAATAATACTGCCCAATTCTACATAAATTTCTTTGAAGATCAAACAAGAACATGTTTGTGAAGGAAGCCCTCTTGAAAGTATTAAGAGCTATGGAAATAGAAAATAGTAATGACAATTATATTACATGGTTGTTTAGTCCTGCCAGATCAAAGCAGTAATCCTTTTTTTAGGAATCTAAATATACTTCTAACTTGAAAGAGAAGTGGGAGCTTTAAAAATAAATGTATTTACAAATGGTATGTACATTACCATCTTCTGTGAAAGTTAATTCTTTCCCATGATGTGATGGGAAAATGTGTATCATTTCTAAACAAATTCTTGACAGTGACTGTGCCACAGTGGGAGCTATCTAACACTGCAGCCTCTCTGCCTACAGTTTACCATAGCAGCGTGTTTACCTCCCTCACAGTAAGTTCACAAGGGATCGGAAAAAGGCCTGCCTGCCAAGTTCCGATCTGCTCTGCGTTCAGCAGCTGGCAGGAAAGCAGAGGGTGAGCCTGCCAGATGCCTACAATGTTTATAGAGGAAACAGCTACCCTGAAAGGGGGAGGGGGGGTCCTTCTGAGAGTCAGACTTTCCTGAAAGATGGGAAAACATGCAGAGAACACAGCAATGCTCTCAATCTTGTTCTTGGGGGCAAAAATGATTTCTGATGTCACAACAAATGTGTGGATTATAAGGTCTGACCTCACCAACTACTTGGCTCTGTAGCAGCAAGGAAATTCCAAAGCTGGTTTCTGGATTTTGTGACAAGAGAAGGCAGCATGACCAGGCTCCACCACCCTGCTGGATACCTTGCTTTTGGCCAGGAAATACTGACAGTATTTTTCTGTGCCTCACTTCATCATGATGTTAGGCTTTCTGTCTGCAATAGTTATTATCCTCCTTAGACATAAGTATCAGCATGGCCACCTCTCCCTTAAAGGGCCACCAGGGGGCTAATGCAGGATGCATTTAGCATGGAGTTATGCACAAAGCACCAGACAGGGAATACAAAGAGCTGGATTTCCGTCCTGCTTCTGCCACTGTAATCTGGAGGAATTCCTTTGTCTTACAACTACTATATACTTTCTAGGGATTCTGCTGTTTCAGCTGTGATAGTATTTGTGAAGTAGTTTGAAAAAGCATGAAATAATTACTAATCTAAAACATTATATGCTTTATTGAAAATGCCAAATAAGCAGTTTCTAATTCTTTGGCTTTTAACCAATTTATCTAGAATAAAATCAAGAACTTGAAGAAGAATATTATACTAAACAGGATTTTCTGCCAGAAAACCCAAAGAGCAGAAATGTGGTAGTAAAAATGACAATGATGATGTTAACATTATACTTACATTCACATTACACTGTGTTTTATAAGTAATAAGCACTTATATAGCACTTAACTGTCAGCCACTATTCGAAGTGCTTTACATATAACTCATTTAGTTGTCACAAAAACCCTATAAATAGGTCCTGTTATTATAATCTCTATCTTATAGATTAGGAAACTGAGGTTCAGAGAAATTAAAAACTTTCTCAAGGTCACACAGCTAGAAAAGGTCAAAGGCAGACAGGCTCTAAAACTATGCTCTAACCACTACACCTGCTGCCTCTCACTGTCAAGCCCTTTCACACATGGTGTTTCAGTTACTCATAGCAAAAGACCACCTTACCTCTTGAGGAGGAATATCAAATGAAATAATTCTCATGTCCACTTTGACAAAGGTGTCAGTGCACGGCAGGACGAAAAACAAACCTGCAACAAAGATCCATAGAAGATTACGGAGAGATACCAGCATCTAAACCATGATGGCAAACCTTTTGAGCTTGGCGTGTCAGCATTTTGAAAAACCTTACCTTAACTCTGGTGCCGTGTCACATATAGAAATTTTTTGATATTTGCAACCATAGTAAAACAAAGACTTATATTTTTGATATTTATTTTATATATTTAAATGCCATTTAACAACATTCAGAAAGCCAAGAAAATGAGTTCGCGTGTCCCTCTGACACGCGTGTTATAGGTTTGCCATCACTGCCCTAGGGGTCACTTACCACATGATGAGAAAACAAAAAGCAATGCTTGACAGATTAAAGAAAAGGTTTACCTGTGTTTGTTGAGGAGAAGATAAGGGGCTTTTGAAGGCTTTGGCCATTATTCGCTTGATCTCTACACCTGTGCTATTCTTAACGCACATGGATTTATCCCACTGAATGGAATGGTCAGGCTCTGTTGGGTTCAGCCAGGCCAGCTCGTCCTCACAGATGTGGAGTGGAGGTGGTGGACGAATAAACTCTGGCCGAAAATGGCCTGTAAATGAGAAGAAACAAGTGA